CCGGGGGAAGCCAGGCTGCGAGCGCGTGCGAGGCAGGGCGTGGTCCTGGAGCATCTGCAGGCCCACACGCCAGGCGCGCTGACGTTGGCAGACGCCGGCAAGCCATCCTGGTGCGGGCGGCTGGGCCCCGGGGAGGAGGCCGGTGGTACCCGACCAGGTGACCCCAGGGGCGTCTCGGAAGGAAGGGTGAGCGAGCATTCCAGGATCGGAGTCCTGGTGCGCTCACGCTGTTCTCACTAACCCTCATATCAAGGCTGGGACGCAGGAAGGGCAGATACTTAAATATTTTTCATCCATCCCAGTTTTGTGTACGAAAAGGCTGAAGTATGAGAGACTTGCCAAGATTAGCCTTCTAGTCCCCTGATTGCAGATGTAGGACCTTTTTACTGGGTTAACTAGGCCTTATTCAACTCTCTAGAGGTGATAAGGCGCTCAGCAGTTTGCAGCTTCTGTATTTTATAGAGAATTCTCTCATCTCTCCCAGGTTACTCTTAATGATATGCTAGGCATTCTGCTGAGTGCTTTACAAACATTACCCAATTTAATCCTCCCAGTAACTAAGTCAGTGTTATCTCTATTTTAAAGATGAGGTAAGAGTGAATAAGTAAATGTTAGAGAGGGATTCTCATCTGGGTTAGATTGCCTCCAAAGCGGATGCTTTTAACTTCTTTGCTGTTGTTTCAAAAATCAGGAAACTGGTGGGTGGTAAGTTGAATAAGAGGAATTCTTTCTCATACACAGCGTTCCCCTAGTTTTTCTTCTCAGCATCCATTTACACGGTGTACAGAAGAATCAAGCCCCTAAATTTTGATGGGTTATCTAAAGTTAGAAATTTCATGTTCTTAGAAAAAGGAGTTAGCAAATCCCATTGAAATGAATTTTTAAAAATCAAATTAGTAAATTAGGAGCCTCAGCCTTTATAGTTGCTATTAAGGGTAGCTTTTTAAGAGACTTTGGTTCTTGGATGCTTTCCTTTTTTTAACTTTTATTTTTAATTTAAACATATCTTTTGCAAGCACTTACACAAAAGTGATAGCATATAGTATATTTAATCTATGCCTGATCAACATGTTGCATAAGAATAATGTGGGATCCACCCTGTAAAAACCAACTCCTGAATATGGCACTTAGCTATGTAAGTAAGGAAGTAAAAAGGTGCTTGTTGATGCTTATCTCAACGCTGACTGAGCCTTTTTCCCACAAACTTATTATCACTGGACCATTTCACTTGGAAAGTAAAAGGATTACATATTTCTCAATGAAAATACATTTTCCCTGCAGCTGTGAATACTGCTCAGTGTTCCATTTCAGGGGTGGAGATTGAATAACCTCAGGAAAGATAACAGTCTGGAGACTTGTTTAAATTATACTTAAATGAGGAGATATTTCTGAAATGTGTCAGGTTTTGGGGGAGAGAGATGCATGAGAGAACAGGGATATGTTGTTTAATACCCAACATCTGTACACTAAATTTACATTTAGAGTTATCATAAAATTTCATTTAAAAGGCATCTATTGAAAATTAATGAAGGCTAAGGACTATACTAATATTAGTGGGTCAGATAATCACAAGAAATGCTCCTTTTGAAGTGTATGGTTCAGCGGGGTCTTTTTAGTGTATTCACAGAGTTTTTAACTATCACTGCAATCTAATTTTTAGAAAATGTTTGTTACCCCAAAAAGAAACCCTGTACTCATTAATAGTCTCCATATCCCCCACTCCCACCCACCAGTCCTGGGCAACCGCTAATCTACTTTCTGTCTCTCTAGATTTGCCTATTGTAGACATTTCTTATAAATGAAATCATACAAACTTGCTCATCTGTTATTGACTGCTTTCACTTAGCATAATGTTTTCAATGTTCATCCACGTTATAGCATGTATCAGTACCTGTTCCTTTTTGCGACCAAATAATTTTGGGGTGTGGTGTAAGAAGGAGGTCTAGTTGTGTTCTTTTGCATGTGGGTCACCAGTTGTCTCAGCACCATTTGTTGAAAAGACTGTTCTTTTCCCATTTAATTATATTGGCACCCTTGAAGTATTGATTTTCGTATATTATTACCACTGTGCAAAAATTTGGTACAGAATTACTTGGAGCAAGTTGATTTATGTGAGAGAACTGTACTATATACGTTTCATGATTTTAGAATACCTACAAAATGTGTATTCTATCATTTGTACCAGGATAATTAGTTTTATACTAAAGCCTGTAGGATTGCTTTTTTTTTTTTTTTTTGCCTATTGTCTACAGAATTATTAACATTTGATGAAATGAACTGATGCCAACAAAGAGGTTAGGGACTGGAGGCAAAAGAGGGGAAAGGAAAGAAATGGGAAGAATTACCTTGAATTAACACTATCCTTATTTTTTGTATATAAAACTGGACTTAACTTCCTGTCTTGCATTTTAAGCTTTTATTGAATTCCTCATTTCATATTTAGAGAAAAGAGGATTTTTCCCTTCTCAGTTTTTTCAAGAACCTTCTAAATGACCTGTCCCAAGAAAAATGCCCTTCTTCCTTTTGACATCCTGGGTCAGATATACTTGACAACACACAACATTCATTATATCTGGGTTTCTATCTCTGGAGTGGTGGGATACAGATAAGAATCTGAATTTGCCTGTAGGCGACACTTGCCTGATGTGCAGAGGCTTTCATTATTGGCCTTTTTCATAATACTTGGATATTTGCATGTAAATTAAACAAAGAAAATAAGACTCTAACATAAATTAGCATTGTACAATTCTAATGTGAAAATAAATAGGAAAGTGGCGTTGTGAATGCACAGAGTTCTTTGAAAATTATCCTGATATCCAGATGACCAGAAAGAGTCTACACTGGCAAAAATGTTACATGTCTAACTGTCTGAAATAGGAAAACGGTTAGAAGTTATAACTGGCAGTTAAAAGTTATTTAGTCATCATAACACAACATTGTAAAATGACTTTAACTCAATAAAAAGTGTTTTAAAAAAGTGATTTAGTCATTGTAAATGAAATATTGTGTATAATAAGTATATATTGTATAAGTGTTACATAAAAGTATATTGTAATAAGTCCATAATCTGTCAGACAGATAGAATAGATCTACCAAATGATTGCCACTTTGTAAAACTTATAAGTTTACAAAAATTGTTAGGAGTGAAAAGGGAACTGACAACATGAAATCTTTACTCATTTGTGACTATCTGTTAATATGAAGAATCTAGATTTTGAAACTCTTTTTTCCTGCAAAAATTCTTAATTTGTTGTGACGTGGTATTTAGTAACTTTATTGTTAAAATATATTTCTTCCCTGTGGTAGATAAATATCTGATAAAGTCTCTAATAGAGGACATATAATGATTTGGAAAAAATTAATTGAAATGTTAATTCAATTGACATTAATTTAATTATAATTGCAGAACTATTATACTTTTCTCAGTTACTGATTTTGTTTTTGTTTGTTTTTTCTTTATAGCAAAGTATCCTGAGATAAAATCCTTGATGAAACCTGATTCCAACTTGATATGGATTATAATCATGATGGTTCTCACTCAGCTGGTTGCCTTTTATTTAGTGAAGGACTTGGACTGGAAATGGGTCATATTTTGGGCATATGTCTTTGGCAGCTGCATTACCCATTCAATGACTCTGGCTATTCATGAAATTTCCCACAATAATGCCTTTGGCCACTACAAATCTATTTGGAATCGTTGGTTTGGAATATTTGCTAATCTTCCTATTGGTGTTCCATATTCAATTTCCTTTAAGAGGTACCATATGGATCATCATCGATACCTCGGGGGTGATGGCATTGATGTGGATATTCCAACAGATTTTGAAGGCTGGTTCTTCTGTACTGCTTTCAGAAAGTTTATATGGGTTATTCTTCAACCTCTCTTTTATGCTTTTCGACCTCTGTTCATCAATCCCAAGCCAATTTCTTATCTGGAAATTATAAATACAGTGATCCAGATCACTTTTGACGTTGTGATCTTCTACGTTTTGGGAATTAAATCTTTAGTCTACATGTTGGCAGGAACCTTACTTGGTCTAGGTTTGCACCCGATTTCTGGACATTTTATAGCTGAACATTACATGTTCTTAAAGGGACATGAAACATACTCGTACTATGGGCCTCTGAATTTACTTACCTTCAATGTGGGTTACCATAATGAACACCATGACTTCCCCAACATTCCCGGAAAAAGCCTTCCCCTGGTAAGTAAAGGATTTGATACATGTTGTAATTTCTGATGGTTATATGATCAAAATTAGACTTGACTGGCTCATTTTAAATGGAATTGAGTATATTTTGTCCATCAAGGCCATTCATCAGAGAAAACAGCTAGAGTCTGAGTCTTGAGTAGGCCAGCCTAATCTATACTCTCCTGGATCCCTAAGCCTACAGGTAACACGTAGGGCTTAGAACTGTTGGGAGTTCTGCAAAATTGGCTAACGTGTACAGTAAATCAGAAATAGGAAAAAAAAAAGAAATAGAAAATGAATTCCCTCTGCCAAGGGAGCAAAAGTTCACATAACCTTTATCACTGTTAAGCTGAATGTACTTAGCTAAGGTTTATGTGTTGGTTTGTTGTGAAATACAGACGTCCTACATAATTGACCTGCAAAATAAATGAACATCAATTTCCAGAAGGACAGACTTCCCACAGGCGGGGACCTCTGTCTCCTGTCACAGTAGACACCGAGTATACTCTTTGTGGAGTAAATGAGAGAAGACACATTGATGCTCATCCTTTCATCCCCCACAAAAGAATGATCCTCTCCAAACTTCAGTTACATTTCTGGTGAATTCTCTTATTAGGCTGTCCATTTCTCAGAATTGATAGCTTTTACAATCCATTACCAAAAAATGTTTCCATAAATCTAGTTGTATGAGATGTGGTATTAATTTTTCTTGATTTTTATAAAGCAGCTGTTTCTCTTCTTTTTAATTTAACTTATTTTATTTTATTTTCTTTATGGCAGTACTGGTGATTGAACCCAGGACCTCATGCATGCTAAGCCAGAGCTCTACCACTGAGCTATACCCTCCCCCTTTATTTTATTTTATTTTTTTAAGCTGTGGTATAAGAGAACCATAGCCAGATATTTTGTACTATTATATCCACCCAGCCAAATTGTATAGATTTCCTCTTAAGTTTTTAAATGTTGATTGTCCACAGACACATAAACATGACAACTAAATATGGCATTTGATTATTGACTGGATTCCCAATGAGGAAAGAAAAAAATCTAGAAAGGACATGGAGTTAGGAATTTTTGAATCTGGTCCATATAATAGATAATATTGTATCAATATGAAATTTCTGGAGTGTGATAATGGTTTTACAGGGCAATGTCCTTGTTCTCAGGAGAAACATATTGAATATTTAGGGGTGAAATATTCCCTATAAGTTTTCACATAATGTCTGCAACTTATTCTCAAAAGGTCCAGCAAAGAAAGTGAAGTATGTGGTATGTATTATTTAAGAAGAGAAAGTATTAATTGGTGGACCTAGGCAAAGAGCATAAGGGTGTTGCTTTTACTGTTCTTTCAACCTTGCTTTAGGTTTTGCAGTTTTCAAAACAAAATAGGGGAAAATACCAGGCAACTGTCAGAAGAGAGCTTTGAAACCAGTGTAATGTGATGCTCATGTGGCTACTTTGTGTCACTTGAGCCTGAAGAAGAGTGCACTCACCTTTGTTTGCCTCTTCCCTGACTAGGAAAGGAAATTCTTATTTCTTAAGAGGTTGTAGTTTAAGGAGAAAGCCGATCACCTTCTGAACGAAATAATTTTTTCCAGCGTAAGCCACATACTTTGACTTGAAATTTTCTTGAACAGTCCCTAACTGGAAATTTAGTTGAGTCAAGACATTGCTTGACCTAAGGCTCATGGTTTCATCAGTGAGTATTCTTTCCCACTCCATTTCATGCTGTCTTCTTGTTCCTTAGCTAAACTAACTAACAGACGTTCTCAGAATTCTGTACTCTTTCCTGGTTTTTCTATGATGTACATCAGGGAGTGTCTTGTTCTGCAGTAGTTGTGTTGCAGTAGTCATGTTTCATGTAACTATCACACAGGTAGTTACTAGGTGTGTATAACAAAGTTTTCTTTACCAGCTCTATTGAGATATAACTCATAGATACAATTCATTCATTAAAATGTACAATTGAGTGGTTTTTAGATTGTTTAGAGTTGTACAGCCATCACTGTGGTCAGTTTTGGAACATTTTTTTATCACAGTAGCCAGATTCTTTTTTTTTAACTGAGCTTTTGCTTTTCATAGAACACTTTTTAAGTGTGTATTTTTCCATTTGCTCACAACTTCATAAAGTATGAAGACAGACATCCGGGTGTATATTATGTCAGTGTTTGAACAAAATTGGACACATGACTAATAAATTCCCTAGGTTTTCTAATTCCTGCTGTAAAGGGATTTATTAAATGTTTGCTTTATGTCTTTTTTAAAATGTATAAATTATAAACATTTTTGTTTTTATTATGATTTTTAACATATTTTTAGTCTCAAGGAGTATCTTAACTTGATTCAGAATGCTTATTCCAGATCTAAACTGGCTCTGTCATTTTATTTTTTTAGAAAGATAGTATCTTTTGTAGTCTAGCTGTTAAAATTACAGGAGGCCCCAATTATCTGAGGGGGTTATGTTGGCTGCCTGAAACCCTGGATAGTACCGACCCTTAATTGTGCTGTAATTTTTCCCTATACCAACAGGCCAGTAGCATATATAGTGTGGATATGCTGGACAAAGAGATGATTCACATTTCAGACGAGACAGAGCAGGAGGGTGCCAGATTTCATCCCAGGATGAAATATTCGGAATAGTGCAGAATTTGAAACTTCTCAATTGTTTATTTCTGGAATTTTCCATTTAATATTTTCACACTGTGGGTAACTGAAACTGTGGGAAGTGAAACTGCAGATAAGGCGGGAAAACTGTAAATTGATTGATTGCTACTGGCTTTGTCATCAGTTTGATGTGGATTAGGACCCAAGTGTATTTGTATGTGTGTGGTCTGTAGATCATCCTTATTCATGAAAGAATTTTAGAAAGTTTTGAAGGACTGTGATCAAAGGTATGACATCACCCCGTGTTTCTTCTGAGTGACTAGAGCAGCCATGTGAAAGGGCGCTGTTTGGCCTTAATTGTTCCCGTAGTTTTGTACCTTAATCTGCTCCTTCCACGACCAGAGAATATTACATTTCCCAAGTGGAAGGAGTAATTTAAACAAACTTTTTTTGTTTTTGTTTTTGTTTCTGTCTATTTTCAACATCTTGAACTTCTTGGATTCTGTGCCTTTGTTTTCCTTTGGGATTTATTAGGATAGTTTTTGAACATTTTGATGAAGCCACAGAATTTTTCAGTACTCAGCACTAGCTAGTTTTCCTTGCTAGTCACACTGGCAGTAGTCATTTTTTAAAAGATGTACTCAACTCGAGATGGCCAAATTGTACACTTGGTAAGTGATTAACTTCTAACTGGCATGCCACAGTAATTTATTAGTATTTGCAGATTCCTTAATGGCAGGGGGTCAGGTGGTCCCTTTACATCCTACAGTAGGGCCAGCCATGCTGTATGATGCTTGAAAAACATCAAGTTGATTGGATTGCAAGTATTTGTAGTTACAGATTCCAAGTGCCAAATTCTACAAATAAACCAGTATTTAGCCCCTTGGAGCTTGTTGGAAAGAGTCAGTGATTCTAGAGTGTCAAGTATATTTTACTGTTGAAATGCAAACTGCTTTTTGTTTAGAATTCCCAAAGCTGCTACATTTATTTATTTGTTTGTTTGTTTGTTTAAGCAGGAGGCGGCAAAAAGTCTCCTGGTTTCTCTTCTAAGTGTTGGTGTCAGACACTCATCTGCCATCTTTAAAAGGACTCAGTTAACACCCATTATTCATCTTGCTATATTTTTTTCCTTCTAGGTGAGGAAAATAGCAGCTGAATACTACGACAACCTTCCCCACTACAATTCCTGGGCAAAAGTACTGTATGATTTTGTGATGGATGATACAATAAGTCCCTATTCAAGAGTGAAGAGGCATCAAAAAGGCAAGGTGGTTCTGGAATAAATGTCATTATTGGCAAAGGAATTCCTCTCAGACTTTAAAATAGCTGATAAAGTGGAACTTTTTGCATTATTAATTTAAGACCTGGTGATGTGTAGAAGCTGCCCTTGTACAGATTCAAAGTATGATCACCATGGTATCAAGAAGCTAATCTGGCTTTAAACAGTCAGCCTGTCTGCTCCGTGTTCAGCTTTACTCACAGGAAGCTTGTTTGTTGTGTTACCTCGTGCAGGAGGTTGTCACTGATGTCTGACATTTTGTAAACATATCATAAACAAAGCTCTTACAAAGCTATTTCTTGTATGTTATTTTCACTCTAAGGATTTACTTTATTAAACAGCTAATAAACTGAGCTATTGATCACAATAGTGTATATCACATTTTTGCATTTTACTATCTTTACACTGTGGCCAAAAGTACTGGGCTGAACTTACCTTACAATTTAAACATGGCCTAGAAATGTCTTTTCTGTGCAAGCAGAATGACTCAGTCTGTACTGTTGTACACGGGGCCCAAGTTAGACACTGCTGAGTCCTGTACAGCCTTATTTGTAAGTAAAGGCATTTTTGAATTTCATCACATCCAACGTTTCATGTGTGGACTCTTAAGTTAGAAGCAGCTCAACTGATAAAGGGTCTCATGTCATTTCATTGCAGCGGAAACTGGTTGGGTCTGATGGTAGATGGTTGGTGTCAAGTAGCCAGTATCGTGGGCTGTCAGGCTAGAAGTCCTGAAACGTGTCAGTTGGGTAAATTTCATGTGATATGGTGAACTGTTTAAAAAATTACCTGCAGTATCAAAAATAATCAGATAGTCTACAGTTTGTACACAACACCACCCCTCAGGCACCCTGAATATGAGACACAAGACTCCTGCTTCTGTACTGCAGCTTCTCCTGCTGGCAGTGGAGATTGTCATGCTCTTCCTCAGGGGCACTGGTTTTCACAGACCTAATATTTGGGTACAAAGTACTTTGCTTTCCCTTCCGGATGATCTTGCCTGGGAAAATTCCTAGTATCTTTGAACTGTTGTTCAAAGACCCCTTGGTTTCACGTTTCCAGTGCTAATAGAACCAACTTTACAGTTCAGATGTACTTGGTCAGTCAGTGTAAAAGAATTTGTGAAACACCCCCATGGATTTGATGCTAGACTTTAAATGGGTCGTGTGCTCTCCCCAAGCCCTCGGCTCCCCTTGCCTGTAGAACTCTGGCCAGGGGCTCCAGCTGCCCGAATGCTGGAAGTGCTGGAAACCCCTAGATGTCCTGTCAGCCCAGCCCTCTCTCGGGTCCATTTCCTGCTGGGTGGGTAGAGGGGGGCATCACCATCCTTCCCCACACCTGCTGGTTCCACTCCCTTCCTGATGTAGGTTCCAGCCTCCTGGCAGCTCTCCGGGCCAGTCTGGCTCCCATTTGCCAGCTCCATCTAGACTTAACGTCTCTGGCAGTGACTTTTCCAAAGAGAGACCTGTGAACCCGTGTAGGGGGAAGGCTGGGCTGCAGAGCCTTTAAGGCTCAAGAGTAGGTCCTGAGAAGTCAGTCAGTGGCTTTGCACAAGTTCTCCCTCCTGCCTAGATTTCCTCTCCTCCCTGCCTGGTCTGGGTAGCTCCTCGTTCAGACTCCTACCAGTGTTCTGTAGCCAGTCCCTGTCCCCAGAAGGTCGATTGCCACTTTGGGATTCATTCATGGTCCACATACTATTTTGTAAACAGCGCTGTTTGTTGCCCCTTCAGGCTGTAACTCCTTATGGGCAGGGATGATCTTTGATTTCTCTATTCCCCAAATCTAGCAGAGTCAGTGCTTCGCTTGAAGAAAGTGCTTAATGAATGGAGAGAGGCCAACAGAGGTAATCCTTGAACTTGAGAAGCTTTTCATTGAAAACAGAAACAAAGCAAAAGATGGAGGGTATTTGGATAACCTTCGAGTGAGTGTGGTGTACTGAAAACATAGGACATTTTTTGAGACTTCTTATTATTTACTGAGCCCTGTACTAAGTTTTTTGCGTGCATTGTCTTATTTCATTCTCAGTACTTCTGTGATGTGGTGGTACTATTAATATCTTCATTTTACAGATGAGAAGACCGAGGCTTGGGGAGATTGAGAACCTGGCCCAAGTCACACTTAGTGAGTCACAGAGAGAGAACCTGAGATTGAGACTGTGACTCCAGAACGCAGACTCTCAACCATGCTTCACGTGGTTTGTCTAATGAGTCCTCTAACGGGAGCAAGAGGGAAAAAATGTGTTCCCACACATTGCCAAATTCATGTTCATTCCACTGCCTTGTGCGCCAGCAGTTCTGGCTAGCTTTCTTGGATTTTTTGACTTTTAACAATCTGAAATTCTTTTTCATCTTTTTAAGAGTTCAGTGTTTTATTGAACATGTTACAAAAGAGGGTTTGTCAAAAGGATGAAAGCCTATATCATCATCGGACTCCTCAGATGCTTCTTCCTTTACTCCCGCTCTCTCCTTCGTCGGGGCAGGACCTCCTGCTGGGGCACAGCCACCAGCCCCTACATTGCAGAGAAGAGCCCCGATGTTGATGTTGGTCAAGGTCTTTGCAAACAAGCCTGGCCAGAAAGGTCCAACATTCACACTGGCTTCTTTAATGAGAGCGTTGATCTTACCCTACACAAGTGGCACCGCATCATCATGCAGGATGAGGGTCAGGTGGATGCAGCTCAGAGACAGGCCATGGAGCAGGCCAGTGCTGGGTGGACGGCTGCCACGGGCAGTGAGCACCAGACCTGAGGGCCCCAATCCCACACTGCCTTAGCTTCCTTAAAAGGACCGAGCATTTTATCAGAAGCTGAGTAAAGGGCCCATCTAAGTTCTAATATGAAACAGTAATGTTTAAATCCATAGCAAAAATGCACTTATTCAAGGGGGGAGGGCATAGCTCAAGTGGTAGAGTGCATACTTAGTGTACACAAGGTCCTGGGTACAATCCCCAGTACTTCATCTAAAAATAAATAAGTTAACCTAATTATCTTCCCCTGCAAAGAAAAAAATTTTTAATGGACTTATTCATTCATTCTATAGGTATTTTGCCAAGCAGAGCACTAGGCAGAGAGGATGCAAAGACAAAACATGGTCCCAAATTAAGGAGCTGATGCTTTTATGCTGGGATGCGCATATGGAATCAGAATTCATTAATGACTCAGCGCCTAAAGCAGGAGAGTCACGATGTGGACGGAACTGAGTAGACAGCTCATGGCAGTGTTGTTCATCAGGTTCTGAACTCTGCCAGACTGTCCCTGCAGGTTATTTTAATCCGTGTTGGGCTGGGGAGGGAGAGATATCATCCCCCACATTCACTTGAAGATATGGAGGTTCCAGGAGGTTAGCCTGGGGACTTGCATTGTGAGCAGCAGAGCTGGGTCCTGAACCCAGGGCTGTCCGAGCCTGCACTCTTTCTGCTGTTCCACTCGCCCAGCTGACTTGGAAGATCTTTGTTTGGATAAGGAAATGTGTTTTCCTTGTCTTAGGAAAACCTTTCAGAAGCCTTAGTGATTTGGAATTAAGCAAGGATAGTCTGATCCTAGAGCTGGAAAGGCCCTGCAAATACTGTACGCTCAGAAACCCAAAAGCATGAAACCCTGAGATAGGACGAGGACGAGTGTGGCATCTGCAAAGAGGGGCTCAGAGTGGAGGAGAGAGGGTAGCAGAGGCCTGAAAACATGAAAGCCAGAGAGCCTGGCTGTGGCAGGCAGTGGGCGAGGACAGCGCTGGGGATTAGCCAAAACGGGTGTGGTGACCAACCCCGGGAGAGTCCCTGTTGGGAAAAGGAGCAGGATTTGACAATAGAGGGATATGCAGGTCAGATCATGCAGGTACTTTTCCATTGTAAAGTTAATGACATAGTAGAGAAGAAGAATGGGGAGCGTCATCTGAAAATGGACAGTTTGTCTCTGCCAAATTGAATCCGATTGGCAGGAGGGCTAATGACCCAGCGAGGGGAAGCTTTCAGATGCTGACAAGTGAATGCATGGCTGCCGCTCAGAAGGTAGCTGCACGTGTGAGTTGGCACACAGAGATCAAAATCAAGGGGTCATGGATGTGTCCGAGAGGGTTCTCTGTAACAGACCCCTTGTGGGATCTGGGGCACACAGCTAGAATTTTCTTCTAAAGGCAGAAGCCAAAGAAACTCAAGCAGCATTTCTATAGAGTCAAGCATGGGTTGATTACGTGTTACCAGGAACACATCCCTGTATTTGCAATCCTTGGTGAAGGGACAGAATAGACGCGTTGCGAAAAAGGCCTAGAGGAATTAACTTGCCCTCAATTTTGGGTTCTAAATCTTTGTGGATCAGGAAATTGCTAATCCAAGGAGAGAGGGCCTCTGTAACCTCCCTCCCCTGCAAGGTTATCGTTATCCAAGGCTGCTGGAACAGGCCCTCGACTCAGAGTAACCCTTCCTTTGTCAAAAAGGGGAGGTGATAGTCATTTGTTTGGTAATGATTTAAGCCTCAATTTTGCCTCCCATTTAGTAGCTGAGTTTTTTTGGCACAAGGGAGCTGACCGTCCCCCCTGAATGGCAGTCTGCAATCTTAGCCATAACTGCACATCTGGACAGCTGCCCTCCCCTTCAGGCTGGGTCGTAAATGTCTACAAAGTGATTCTTTTCTGTTGCTGTCTTGACACTTTCATGTCACCTTTCCTTTTTTTTTTTGGTTGAAATACAGTTGATTTACAATGTTGTGCTAGTTTCTGGTGTACAGCATAGTGATTCAGTTATACATATATATATTCTTTTTCATTATAGGTTATTACAAGATATTGAATGTAATTCCCTGTGCTGTACAGTAGGACCTTGTTGTTTATCTCCTTTATGTATGGGAGTTTGTATCTGCTAACCCCAAACTCTGAATTTATGCCTACCCCCACCACCTTTCGCCCTGGGGAACCAGAAATTTGTTTTCTATATCTGTGAGTCTGTTTCTGTTCTGTAAATAAATTCGTTTGTATCATTTTTTTAGACTCCCCTGCAGTCCTGGCCCACCAAGCCAGGCCTCCAAGCCCTGCGTGTCCACTTGGCTGGGCTGCCCAGCCAGCCGCCAGGGTCCTGCTTTCTCCCCATGCTGCCTCGGGGGGTGGGCCCCCACAGGACAGCACCCTGTGCAGGCTACTTACACCTCTGCTTTCCAAAGGGCGCTGCTCGAGACCCAGCCAGAGGAAAGCGCTTTCTCTTCACAGAGACAGGGTCATAAATCTGGTAGCTCATCCCACTGCACTCCGCACCCTCCACCTCAGGACTCAGAGTTGAACAATGGCAGATTCTAACTCAAGCTCTGCCATGCCTCAATTTTATAAAAGCAGTTTTTTTCACCTCCTGCTATCGTCTCAGAAACAGATAAATTAAAGCAAGAGA